TCCCAGCAATCGCTGCTGTGATTGGGAATACACTGATTTGCACACGCCTAATGCCTCAACACCGTGACTTTTGGCAACAACCAAAGTTGAAGTTCAGAGTCCCAGGCCCCCTCCTCTACTCCCCGGGCAGACATGGTATTTTGGACCAGAATATCCAATTATAAGATTGAGTAATGCCATACACTGTGAGTAGCTCCTCTGGGATCAGAAGGGCTATTTGCAATGCAAAAACCTTCCAAAATATGCTTGTTTTTAAAAATAGTAAAAACTGAATGGCATTCCATCAATTTTTTGGAGCCTCCACTGACTCACGGTGCTTTCACCTGGAATTTAAGTCCTGCAGAAGAGAAGCTGGAACACGGAAGGTGAGGTTTGTTAGCAGGCAGTTGTTTGCTGCACCTTGAGTTCAAAAGATGATGTGCACACGCGTTTTCCCAGACAAAATACAGCGATCACAGCCTGAGCCACGCAGGCAGGTGGATCTCTCTTGATTCCGGTGGAAGTACACACCGATTGAGAGCAACTGGGCACTTCCTGGAGTACGAACTGGTTGAGGGCTCCCATAATGAACCTAACCTCTTTGAGCTATTCAAAAGATGCTCTCAGGCAAAAATAACGGGATTCTATTTAGCAAAGGGAAGCGCATGATTGTTTTCATGCATTGGACAGCTGAAGCTGTGATAACGTAGGCTAGAAGATGATGTTTTCAAGTGAAACAGGAATTGGTTGTAATTATAATCGTTTTTATGTATTACCAGCTGTATTGATTACCTTCATCCTGCGTGTGGCTGGCAGCTAGGGAATACGATCCATTACCTCATGCTAGTGTTGGAGAGCAGCAGAGATTGGGGTATTTTTAGAAACAAGATTCCCACAGAGTAATTGTAGCAATTGGATGATGGTACACACGCATATTAAAATGCCAGCAGATGAATTCCTGGACAGCACTAGCAAGCGTTTCACTGTTTGGGGTAGGAGGAAAGGGCAGGAATGAACAGCTCTGAAGTTCAACAACGACTGGCAAGCACAGCGTTTATACCTCCAAGAGTGTTCCCGAGAGCTGCGTGCCTCACGCTGGCCAGCCTGAAAGGGAAGCTGGTAAAAAGCAGAATCTCACTTTCCAGGATGAAGAGACATCTGCAGGTCAGAGTGTCCATCTCTCTCCTGCCTTACCTGGTCCTGTAACACATGAAATTAGTCTCTGTATCAATAAAGAGAGCTGATGGCCATCTACAGACACCCCTCAAGGGCTCGGTGCTGGGTCTCAGCTGCCAGCGAGCAGCGTTTGGGGTGTCTATATTGCCCAACGTGGTGCAGAGATCCCTGCCTCACTAAATTTTAGCGAGGTTGCAGAAGCACAAGGCTCACAGCTGGCCACAAAACTGCACAGATGTGGGCACACAGTTCTTAGGGCCAAGTTGCCCATCAGCAAAGTTGATTGGGAGGTCACCAGGAGCTGCCTGTGCAGAGCAGATGTGCAGCAGCATCTGCTGGGAACTTACACGTCTCGTAAAGCATTTATATGCCTTGTAAAGCAGAAGAAGCTGATTCAGACTCTCTGGGAATGATACCAGCCAGGTTAACACTCCTGTCATCGGGCTGGTTTAGACAGGAGCTGTACAGAACCAGCAAAGTCTAAACCTTTGCACTGAGCGCCAACCCAAGTGGCTCTAAGTAGAGCACAATTCGGGTTCACTTGCAGAAGAAATAACTAATGAAAAAGAAATAACTTGAAGCATTCAGTGGCCATTGATGTAGGTGTGAGAACGCCAGATATCTTCCAGCAGACTGTTGCTGTATTCAATATAAATAAACTGATGACCACAGACCATCACAGGAGCATGGTGACTATTATACTCGATAAAACTGGCTGTCCAAATAGTTCCCAGTCTTTGGCTGCACTAACTGGAATGTGTTTTGAAGGGCAGCACAAGGGATGCTGTGGCAGACAGCTATAGCATAGCCTGCCCCAGACAGATTTTTCTTTCAATTCTCTTTAAGTAGAATTGGTCTGAAACCGATCCAATAGTCTTGAATTTTATGTATTTCTCACTGATATTGCAGTGATTGCAATCGGTGTTGGAGGCTATTAAATGCTGGATCTTTTTCAGAATCCTGTTATGTTTATGCATGCTGATATTGTTCCACGCAAAGAAAATTCCTCTCTGTCTGCCTCAATGTACCACTCTTCTGTCTCATTATATGCCCCTTTATCCCTTAAGAATAAAGAGAAGACCCTAAACCACCTTCTCAGTATAACTTAGCTTTGTATACACTTTCATAATGTTTTTTACCATGTTCTGCAAGGTACACAGTCCTTTTTTTCAACCTAATAACCAAATACCAGAACAGAAACTTTCCTAAAACATTTTAGTACATGGCTTCAAGCCACACTATAAGAATGAACAGTCACCACGAAGTAACTTGCAGGTGGTGGTATATTGCCTAACATCCTGATGCAAATGTAAGATAAAGGCCTACTCGAGGGGGTGTAGTGCAACACGAAATCCGAGTGTACAGACTTTGCATATCAAGTTTTATCTTCATTTCAGAAAAGCCTCTAATTATGCTGAAAAGTGTGCTTTCAAGCTTTCCTACACCTGGCCTCCAGGAACCCCCCCAGTTAACTGCAGGCAATGACTCCCTCCATGCCATTCCTTCCCCACAAGGGATTTCAGACACTGAATCTACACAGCCACAGCACCAGACCGAACAGACCCCCATCTCCTCAGCCTGTTCCCACCTGCCTCTGGCCAGCCTCCAACTTATTTTTGTGGCTTCATTTATGTTCAAGCCATCTTCTTCTTCCTGCTGTGCCGGAAGGGAATAGCCAGATCCAGCTCTGAGAAGAGCATACCAATCCACAGGGAACATCTTGTTCTGGAGAGGGCACGGCAGGAAGAAACATCCTTCGTGGCATTCAGGGTGATGTGAGCTGGGTTTCAAACAGGAGGCCACAATTTTCATCGCCAGACAGTGCCACCCATCTCAGGCACGTAGCAGCTCTATTTGCCCTCTTCTGAGCTGCTCAGTTTAGCCCTCAAACAGATCCAAAGGGAAGTTCTGGATACCTTCACAGGTGAACTTCCATATACGGCCGCGAAAGCACGGGCTGTGGAGGGTTGGCATGCAGATCTATATCAGCATGCCAAAACTTCCACAGCAACGTGTAACCAGTACACACAAATACAATTACACACGCATTTATTGGGAGAAGGTGGCAGAGTGACTGGAACATGTGTCAACAGCTTCCCAGGGTGAGGACTTACAAGAGCTATTTGGTACAATAAAGTCTGATGCTTAATACACAACTTTTCTGCGAAGGCTGCTTTTTTGCCTGGGCCAGCTGAGTGGCTACGTTAATGGGAAAACTGGAAGCCTTTTACTGGGTGAGTAGTAGCTGAAACTGCAGGGGTATCCGTGCTACCTTCTGCAGCATCTAATTTCAGCTGTGGTAATTCAGTCTGGTCTCTGTGGGCTCCCTATATAGGCAGCAGAAAGAGAGACGTTTCTCCAGAGGATGATGTAGCAGAGAGAATTTTCATGCCCGGAATGGTATTCCAGAGGCCTTAGCTCCAATGTTTATAAAGGGAGCTTGAGGACACTCACCTTCTACCAAACACACAAATGGAGATGTGTCACCTCCCCTTCACGCACACACCCCCCCCACGATGTTTAAAGTTTAAAAAAAAAAAAAAGAGAGAACAAGCTGGAAACACGAGACCACAGATAGGTGAATTGAGATGTTTCCTTAAGGACTTGCTAATAGGAAGGAAACTACCACCCTAAGAACGTGAAGAACAGCAAAGGCTTTCAGTGCTGAAGGCAGAGGGTTATGCATCACTCACACAACAAAGAAGACACATGTAATTCTGCTTCCACAGGGGTTCACCAGTCCTGTCAGGCTTGGGAAGAGATCTGAATAAAGAGGCCTGGAAGGAACCCAGGCACTTAGGGCAGCACCTGTACAAGATCCCTCTTCAGCATCCCACAGGTGATGCAAGCATTTTCTACACGTAGGAGTAAGAAACACAACAAGCTCTATCAACTAGGAACACTAAACGACGTGGAAAGGGCTTTATAAGCATGTGACCTTTGTTTATTTTTAATTACTTTCCATACTGCTGAGAGCAGAGTTTCCTATAAGCCAGATCCAAAGTAATTATTGGTTATGGGAACTTCCAGTGGCTTTCAAGTAGATCTTGCACTGCCAGAAACAGGTGGTGATAGGAAAACACCACGTGCCTCTCCTTCCACCAAAAGTAAAACCAGGTAAAGCAGAATCACATTTCAAGAGAGAAGAGTTATCATTTTGCTTAGACTGAACAGGGTTATTTTTTTTATCCCTGTCCTTTTTGAACTGTTCAGCACATAAAGGAAGACACAGAATAGTGCCTTCTCAGAATCCAGGCTACCAAATAGCTCTTGGCTGGTAGGTTTTTTTGCAAACAGCGCTGGGAATGCGCGATGTTTTGGTATCCAGCCTTCAATCCTCAGTTGTCTCCTACTCTCGAACGCAGAGGGAACAACACTGGTACTCTACTGGTATCAAGGGGGCTACAGCAGCAAACAGATCTGACCTCAGCTGTTTTGGATTGCCAGGTTTGCACATAGCTTACATTTTATCACCCTGAAATGGCCGAATGCCAGAGATGGGTGAATGATCACAGGCTACACAAAGTCCAAGTCAGTCCAAGTCAACCTGTCGCCAAGACAGGTGTTTCAGAGTGATTTACTAAATGGTATAATTACCGGGTATTAATTATTAAGTGACCACGTCTGGGAGAATGGGACAGAAGCAATTTGTTGAGCTCGGGCTCAGCTAGCTCATACGCTATGATGTAGGGGAACGTGCTCACCCTCCCAGAAGGCTGCAGCCCCTCCAGAGGAGGGGGAACAGGCAGAGAGCGCCTGAAAACAGAAAGGGAACAGGCTCGTGTCTCCGCACAGAGATAACAGCCCTCCAGCTGCTTATTTAGCCGCAGTCAGAATGCGTCCCATTTTGTACCTGCCAGCACGCGGGGAAAAAAACATGGTCGTGAAACCCCTTGCTCAGCAGATGCAGGGCACAGGCTTTTCATTTTCTAAGACAATATTATTTTTATACGCAGTCTTAGCTAAACTCAGGCGTCCTGATGCATTCTTACTCACTTCACATTCCTTCTCTACTTTGTCCAACTAAAGACTGAGCAAAGATCTGGGGCTAAAGGCTCTGATGGACTGCAAAACAGAGGGACAGTGATATGATCATCTGCTTTTTTTTTAAGCCTGAAGATTTGGGAGATACAAGACTTCACATTTACAGGCATTTTTTATTCCCAGTGAGGTTCAGGATGGTGAGGTCTTTGGAGCTTACAGATTCAGATTCTGGACTTTTTTTTTTTTCCTTTTTTTCTTAACTTCTGCTTATTTTACTCTTCATTTCAAGATAATCCATTTTAATACACCCCAAGGAAACAGGGGGAAAACCCTCAGATTCCTAACTAGATTAGGGTTACACAAAACCATCAACTGGCAAAGATTTAGGCAAGGGTGGACCTATTCTGACAGAGCGACAGCGCTAATTTAAAGATAATGGAAGTCAAAGAAGCAGATGTCAAAGGAGGACTGAGACACAGTCTTTTGTGGTTTAATTGCAGTTGGCTCCCCTGGAGTATCCTCTGAAGGAATTTTACACAGGAGAAGCCCACTACCTGTAAAAGACCAGGCACAAAAGTGTCAAAGAAAACAATCCTCATGCAGACAAACACTACTAATCACCAAAAAAACCAGGTATCACTTTCTTTTATTTCCGTCCTTTGCAAGAAAGGTGTAAATACATATAGGAAGTCACACACAGATTTATTCCCGACCTTCAAAACATTTTTAATTCTAGTGAGTGCAAAGCCTACATATGTGTGTTAAGTAGATACCACTGCAACTTGTTATGTTCTACCAACTGAACAACTTACAACCTATAATGCCTCGGGAGACCCCTCTCTTCCAGCACCTATTGCCTTGGTAAAACAGCGATATTTTTTTTCCCAGCTGAGTGATATGGGTGCCATGGGAAACACAAACACCAAGGAGGGTCCTGTGGTAGCGATGTTTGTTTCTTGGGTTGTGAAATGGTTGAAGTCATCACCCAAAAAGAATCACAGGAGTAAAACTGGCACTCCAAAGCTCACACAAAGGCTATGTATTTTCCACAGGCTAGCACCAGCTGCCACTACTGCAGAGATTACTTCCTGTTCTTCATGGGACTCACTCATTCACCATCTTATTTACTCCAGCCAAATTATGACTCCCAAAGGAAACCTGGGGACTGCTGTGGAGCCTTACTTAGAGCCAGCATTAGGCTGGGGTCCAACACAGCTCTGACCTACTGCTATCTGCTCCCTCCTATCAGCCCCAGGGCAGATCAAGCAACGGTCATCTTTCAGCTCAGTGTGTAATCCTCCAGCCCACCCCACAGAAAGCCAGGCCTGACACTTTTGGGGTATGAAGCTTTCCCATGGGCAAGAATGAGCCTGGAGAAGCTGTAGAGATACAATTTATAACACAGTGATGACTCCTCCTACACAATTAGGAAAAAAACACACCACGGACACGTACTGCACCAAGCCCTGGGGCACGCTTGTAGCTGTGCAATGCTATCAGAATACACATTAACAAACAGAGCAATAACAAAGCAATAATTGTGAAGGGGGAAGAAACCTATCTGATCTACTCTTAAACTGAATTAAAGGCACCACCGTAGCTTGCATATAACAGAATCTGACTCAAGAGAAACTGGTCCAGCTCTGTAAAAGCAAACCAGCCCCAAGGCAAACCTGAGCACACAGTGACTCTTTGTCATGCTTTGTAGAGGGTTATCACCCTGGGTTTTTTCAGGTAGCACAGAGTTGTAGCTCTGTCAGCCTGTATCTCTGTCAGATTGAGAAAGGGGGACTCTCCAGAGAAGTGGCCTAGCTAGTAACAGGATATAAATCATCAACCTAAAGCAGAGATGTGTAATAACTCAGGCCTCTCTGAAGGCATAGCCTGTAGGATAATTTAAGCATGTCTTGATGGTGTAGAACTGTAGAGTGGAAAAATCTTCTCAGTGTAACGTGCTGTCAAACTGCATCTGAAGACATTTATACAGGGGAAAAAAGATCAGAAGGCTCATGGCTCTGCAGCCATGAAGTGGCTACCCCATCCATCCCTGACTGGCTGGCTATGAGAAGAGTAGGTCAGTTTGCAACAGCTTCTGCAGCAAGCTCAGTCTATATCTTCCTCATCCCTGAAGCATCTCTGCAAAGACCTGTCTGACAGCAGTCAAGTTCTATCAGCACAAGTCAGATAAAATGATCCTAGAAGGTACAAAAGGACCTGCTTGGGGGAGGGACAGGGATGGGACAATCATGACCTAAAATGCCTATGTTATTTTTGAACAAAAGCTGGTTCACATCCCACCATCTTCTTGAATAAGCAGAACAAGCCCCTGACTGGTAAGAGATCTCTACAGCGCTCCTGAAGTTCCCTCCTGCTCCATGTAAAGATATGAACAGGAGTCTCTGCTCCTCAATAATCCAGGCTATTGCCAGCAGGTTTTGTGTCAAGAATTAGTCGCTGCTCAGAGAGCTGTGAATGATCTCATAAACTGCAACATTTCCTAAGTGAGACAGGCTGCCGAGGACAGAGAGGTCTGATTTTAGGAGATAGCTGCATCACTAGCAAGGGTCATGCATCTTGGCTCCTCCTCAGAGGAAAATTTGTTGGAAACTCCACCCAGTATGGGATAAACAGTGAGTTACTGAGAATATGCTTTCTGCCCAGGGGATTTCTTGTCGAAGGAGACAAGACCCTTTGCAGCAAAATATGGTTAAATATGGAGAAAATGTGGATTGCGGCCAAATTTGGAAATAATTATATCTGCTTTGCTCATATAACATTCCACAACTGGGCAACTGGCCCGATGCCATTTCCATGCGAACCGATTGTGAGTCGCCATCAGTCTTTCATTTAAATCCACTGAACTGCTGACTTTACATCTGACCGAGCGCACAGCAAATACCCTGTGGCCTAAGTTATAAACAATGCCATAAACACAGGGAAATCGAGACAAAGTTGCTCCTTTGAAACATCTAGCAATCAGCTTGTCTTGGGAAGGATGGGGCTTGGTACTTTGGGTGGCTGTTTGGAGCTGTGTTTCCAACTCTGTGTAGGTGGAAGGGTGGGGGTATGAGAATTCCTCATCTAGACTTGACTGCAGATCCCTCTTTGGCCAGATGAGAGCCCAAACTGGTGCTCTGAAAATAGTCCTCTCTCAGCTATGGTGGGAACTGAGGCTCCTTGCAACGAGCGCTAGACCCTATAAATCAATAGGTTTATTGTGCTTATTAATATTTTTTTTCGGTTCAGTGGTTAAAAACTGAAAACCACGCACCAAATTCACCGCTAATGCCCAATTGAATTCAATAAGGTTAGAGGTGCTGCTAAGATGCACAGTATCTCCCTTGAAATGACACTTTGCACTGTTTTTGCAGAAAGATGAAGGGAACAGCAAAGGGAAGCGTTCCCTGGCAAGGGCTCCTGCAGAGCACGTCGGTGATACCACACAAACCTGCTGGGATCACACGTGCTTACTAGGACCAAGCAGCTGGCTCAGAGACAGCAGCCCTTCCCAGGGCTGAAACCCAGTTAGCCACGATCTTAGAGAGGAGGCTCCTACTTAGAGCCTGGTGAATTTAAACAGATTTCTCAGGCACCTGGATTTACCTAATCTCATTTTCCCTAGCTCTCCTTGTGGCAACAGAGCTGGTTCGGCTGCTCTCCAGAGATCTCTGGCTGATCCTGGCTATTGAAGGGGTGGGGACTGGACCTCATCCCCTCATCTGCCCTGTAGTCTTTGTCCCTGCCTTCCTCATCCTGCTGTTTCCCTCCCTCACCAGCTCTCCCCACACTTCCTTCTGCCTGCTCCTCCTTCCCACATTCTGCCTCAACCTTGGTACAAACATCAGGGTCTTGCTTCTTTCTGCTTAGGAGATAACAGCAGGGGACCACGTGGAGACCAACTGAGGTCTGAGGGTCTCAGAGTATTTGGAACATGGTATTCTCTCTCTAAATTTTGTCTCCTTGTTTATAATTTACATATGACAACAACTCTGTCAAGTAGTTTAAGACCAGATATGGCCAATCTCACATATTTCTCCTACGAGAGCTTTCCAGAAAGCGCTCCTGCTTTTCTGAGATCTACCCTTGCTATGTGCCTACATCCCAGATGCTTTGCAACTCAATGAACATAGATCAAGAAAGCAAACCCGTTGCAGAAAAATATGACAGAGGATAAAACTGGCATATGTGGTACTGAAAACAGGCAGCAGGGTCTGAAAGACAACGAGAAGGATTTTGACAAATACCTGCAAAAGGAACCTCTTTCCTTTCGTGGCAGTCGCATTGGAGACAGAAGTTGTCATTAACCCAGAAAAACCTCAGCCATTTCCATTTTAAAGCCTGGAACTGGATCCTACTTTCACTTCTGTTTAATGGACATTTTGCCATTCACTGTAAAAGGAAAAAAAAAAAAGTCTCAAATTATTTTTATTGATATGCATCACTGCCAGTCACACAACACGAGTTCATGAGGAAAACTTGTTCCAAACGTCTGAACCAGGGACCTGAATTTCACTGACTGTTTTGACATATAGATGTGAAATGAGCCTGTGCGATTATAACAGGATATTGCAAGTCTTCTTATATATATATATAAAACAGCTACAGAGGTAAGTTTCAGTGTTCCTAAACCTAAAACAAAACAAAACAAAATAAAACACAAAACCAACAAACAATTTGTCCCACTGGAAAGCTCTGCTCTGCTACTGAGAGAGCTAGAAATCCTGATTTCTTCCTGACAGCTGAGGTGCTCACACAATACCATCTTCTAGAAGGAGGAAGGATTGTCATCCCTGGGAGGAAACAGTATGTGTTGCCTGTACATCGCAGAATCACAGAATGGTTTGGGTTGAAATGAGATGATCTTTAAGGTCCTTTCCAACCCCTCTGCCCTGGGCAGGGACACCTCCCACCAGACCAGGTTGCTCCAAGCCCCCTCCAACCTGCCCTTGAACCCCTCCAGGGATGGGGCAGCCACAGCTTCTCTGGGCAACCTGGGCCAGGCTTTCACCACCCTCACAGCAAAGAAGTTCTTCCTGAGATCTCATCTCAATCTCCCCTCTTCCAGTTCAAAACCATTACCCCTTATCCTATGGCTCCCCTCCCTGATCAAGAGTCCCTCCCCAGGGACTGGAAGGGGTTCTAAGGTCTCCCCAGAGCCTTCTCTTCTCCAGGCTGAACCCCCCCAACTCTCTCAGCCTGTCCTCACAGCAGAGGGGCTCCAGCCCTTGGAGCATCTCTGTGACCTCCTCTGGACCTGCTCCAACAGGTCCATGTCCTTCCTGTGCTGAGGACTCCAGAGCTGGACACAGTGCTCCAGGTGGGGTCTCCCCAGAGCGAAGTAGAAGGCCGTCATTACTCATTTTGGCTGTCCATCACTGGGCTGCTACACTTGACAGCTGTTTTTACCTCTCAGCTTGCCTGAATAACAGTTAAATCTGGGCTGAAATCGGATTGTTTTCAGCCTGCACTCATCTTAACATTTGTTGTATCTCCTTCACACCTGAACATGCCAGGACTGCCAACAGCTTGCCAGTTTTTGCCAGCTACATTGGTTTGTGTAATGCCTTTTCTGACAAGCTTTGCTGTTATTAAAATGTATGCACACTATTTGTTACATATTTTTATACGTAGCTCATCGGCATGTATGTATAGTATCACCACACAGAAGTCATTAACTTCTGCCACTTTGAGGATGTGGTCTAGACCAAGGCAGGAAAACGGGGCTGGTTTGACATTCATGAGCTGGTTAATCCACTGGGTAGCCCTCATATGGCAAGAATGTGAGCCTGCATGTTCATTAGAGGCTCCAAATCAGCTGCAAATGTGGTAGAGACTCAGAAGGGAGTTCCTTAGAAGAAAAGCAAACAAACAACCAAAAAAGCCTCTCAACAAACACTGATCTCAGCAACCCTAACCTTGCTCAATTAAGTCTGAGCTAAAAATCCAAGAACCTACATACCCTTCAGATGTAGGAGATTTCTAAGACACCACCCCTAAAATAACTGCCATTTCATGTGTTTTCTGTAACTACATAGCGTTCTTTGTAGTTAACACATTTAGGATTGTTTAAGGACAATTTTGGGAATTTTAATGGCTTGAGAACGGGCTACTGATGTAGTAATGCCTTCTAGCTCTCATAATTACGACTCCAGTAAAGATAGGTAGGGAGATTTGTATAAAACAGTAACAAACTTGCACTCCAAACAGAATATGTTGCACCTAAAACACGTCTCGCAATGTTTTACATTTTCTGCCAGTGCAACTAGAACAGATGGCGACAGTCCCTTCCTTGAAGAGCTGGGAAAAACTAAGACACCTTTATTGGATCCCCCGGAACAAGAGAAACCAGTGCCTGGTCATTCTGCATGCCCAGAGGTCAATGCCAAAGGAAGTAGCAGCAATGCAGAAGACATGGGCATTTGAGATGTTTAGAAGAGTATCCCAGTGCCTCTGAAAAGATTTGAGAGGTACTGCAGCTGCAACTTTGTTTAACTTAGCTAACAGAAATTGCAGAATTTTTCTTTTACTAACTGTTGCCCACTTGGAAGCCAGCAGAAAGCACGTATTATTCATTCAGCTAGCGTTGGTAATGCCCACCTTGTGAAACCACAGCCACAATTTTCACAAAAAGCTTTTGAGGCTGATTGGTGAATTCAGTCAGACAAGCTCTTTCTGCTTGATAATGAAGCAGTAGGAGTTACTTCAGCTATAATGGTGTAAGATAAATGCAGTTTTACTGAATTAAAAACATTTCAGATAAATGTGCGAGTTCAGTTTCATGTCAGGATGGGAAAAAAGTCAAAACATTCTGTGAAGTAAAATCGCAATGGTTTGATTTCCTGTTTTCAATTTGCTTTATTTTTTTGTATTTCATTTCCACAGAAAAAAATTAAATTAGCTAGCATTGCACTGACAATAGCAGAAATGAAAGCCTTTGGCATTAGTTAAATGAAATGATCTGGTAGGTCCAAAGACCATTTTGAATTCATTCTATGGATAATTTCAAATCTTCAAATTGTCCGATTCAACTGCAAATTTATAATTAAAAAAAAAAAAGAAAGAAAGAAAAATCAGGCATGATAATTTCTCAGGAAAACAGCTATCTAGTTTCTGACCAGCAGCATTGCCAGACACAGCAGAGAGGAAAGCAAACTTCCTCAAATTTGAAGATTTATCTAGCCTTTGATTAAAATTAGTTTCTTCCCCATATATTGAGCAGGATAGCCAGAAAAAGCTTGCACTGCTATGAGCCATGTTGTACTGGACATATCTTTGAAATAAATATGAAAAACAAACAAACAAAAAAGAAACTGTACTATCCAACACCTTTCAGAAGATATCTTGCACTAGACTACACAATATACAGTACTGTTTACAGTATAACTAAATGTTACATTCAGGAACCACACTGTAAACTCCAAAAAGAGAAATAAAAAGCTAAATTGTTTCCCTATAAATACTCGATTTTCTTCAGAATTACAAATGACTGTTTTACAAAGGACATGGACGTCGACCATAACAAGTTCTCCCTTTCATCCTCAATTCCCAACCCAGGAGGAGTGTCTGAGCCTCCAGACCAGGCGGGATTTTGGGAGCCAGCCTTTCTGAATCATCTTGACACACCACGGTACCTTTTTCCAGTTCTTTTAGGACTTCTAGGGAGGTTGCGCCCTCTCCTGACAGTTTAGGACTCGGCAGCAGCGACTGACAAATAAATGACAAATAAAACACCAAAAAAACCACCCATCACCACCACCACCAAAAAACCCCAATATATGTTTAAATGCATCGACCACCACCCTAGAATAATGTCCAAATATCATACAGTATTTGCAATCCATGCAATCCTGTAAAGGAAACTTTCACATGCTGAAAATATAACCTTGAAATCAGTGCTGTAACCCATGGATTCAGTTTCACAGAACTAATACATAATATGGCTAATGCTATTATAAAGAGTCAGTTTGCCTTCGTAAGCAAACGTAATCTCCTTCAACCAGCAAAGCTTACGCAGGAGTGACTAAAGAAATCCCACACATCTTGTCAATCATTCACACTACGCTTAAGTGAAGATCACCTTCTTTTCTTTATATGGAGTGCTCACCTCTCCTCTGATCCTGCATTAAAGCAAAATTAATTTTACAAACTCAAAACTGGATACTGACTAGAACTCTTGGTCCTACGAACTACTGAATACCACCAAAGAAAGAGAAGGAAATTTCCCTCTGGTCAAACTGGCAGGGACCACTTGGAGGGATTTTCTGCCTTTCTTTGTAGCTTAGGATATGCATCACTTCCTCAAAGCATCTGGGAATTTTACTTAACAAATTTCCTTCTATTCTAGAACCTAATTACTGACACTGCCGATCTTTCTGTGCTTGTGGCTTTAGTCTTTTCCACAGCAGGGTTTTACCCTCCTTTTCTTTTTTTTTTTTTCCCTCAGAGTGTTAGGTTAGTCAGGGTACTGACTGGGGAGTTTGGGGCCAGTGTGTTTATTCCATATGCTTGTTCAAATCATTGATACATCAACTATAGAAGAGAAGATATTTATTAAATTACCTCCTCTAATTAGATTATTTACAACGCTGTTATAAGGATGATTAACACTTGTGGCCAATGATCATCAACTAAACACAGCTGGAAGGGGAAACAATTGTTCACAGACTAACACCACACGCTGAGGTGTATTTTAGGCCCCTAGAACTCAACAACCACTGAAAATCTAGTTTGTCTGTTGCTTTACAACACAGCACTTCACTTGCTTTTACAGATTCTTCACCCTTACAATTTGTAAAACATGTTGTTGTGCATTGGGTGAAGGTCAAAGATCTGTGACTGCTAAACTGCCCTACCTTCCAGTTCCCTCAGTCTGTCACCGTCTGTCCTGCCAGCTCAGCACAAGCTTCACACGGCGTTTCTGAAACTAAGCCAAAAAAAAAATGAAAACAGCCACCAGGCGGCGAAATTTAATACTCATACAGCCTCGTTAATAGTCACTTATGATTATCCTCAGCTACTGTAACAGGATTCCTAATGTAACAGAAACATTGTATTAACAATATAATTTCCCCATGCTTCACAAAGGCCTTATATTGCTTATTAAATTAGTAGATTAATTACAATTACTGCTAAATGCGTTTGAGGCTTTTTTTATTCCACAAACCTGTCTCAGTCATGGAAAGTTCTACAAATAGCCTTGTTTTGAACCATCCTCAGCCAAACTACCACGTGTTCAAATACATGCTTAAGCCTCTATAGGAACAAAACTTTAATATTACACTTTGATCGCTATTTTATTATTGTAATTTTCCAACATGTTGTAACTGCTGTACAGTGTTCAGTTCACTACTGTCAAAGGATGAATGGCAGGCTTTGCAAATTATTTAAAACCATGTTATGCATTTTTAAAACCTAACATGCTGGTAGTTCTGACAATATTCACCAGTACAGTGTTAAAATGTATTAGAAAAGAAACAAACAAACAAAAAATTTGAAAAAAGGTAAGCAGGCATGTGTTGTTATTTCTCATTACTTCATTTAGTGCATGTTCCTGTATACCTTTTTGACAGTCTTTCTACTCCTTTTTACAGCATTTGCACAACCAACAAGCAAACAAAATGGTAAAAAGCTAAAGCATGACTTGACTGGTGCTGCAGATGCCACCAGCCTACGCACGCACCTTCCCTATGAAGCCGAGGCACATTCGAATGTCTTTTTTCCCCAGAAACAAATTTGTACCAAGCTGCTCTTTGAAGGTGGTAACTCCGGCAGACAAGATCTCAGCGCGATGCAGACAGGCCCTCAGGGATTCCACCTGGGGCTAAGTGAGTTGCAGACTCTGAAGTTGAAGGAACTTTCCCCCTGGATCACGAGGAGACAAAAAAAAAAAGGCAGAATAGTGGTATGGCAGCCTGTTCCTGAGGCGGGTTTGGAAACAGGGTTGCGGGATCATACATATGGGATCAGACTACCACACACCCACACTTCAAAGGGGGCAAAACTTTACAGTAAACAATTTCCTACGCAGAAATATTAGCCTGAGCCTCAAGACTTGGAAATGAAACCCTCCCACAGCGTGGGCGTAACCACCATCGAGTTGGTGGTGGCCAAGCTCCCACCGGGAAAGCGCGGCCCTTCGGCCCGCTCTCCTCCACGCCACCTCCCTGCACCCCCGGCCGGCTGCGAGAGGTGATTCGCCCCCAATTCCCTTCATCCATCACCGCCTCTTTCCACCGCCCGCACGGCCCCGGTCTCCTTCACGGGACCCTTGACAGGATCCCTGGCACCAGGCGCAAGGGCTTCACCTGGCGTAGCGCACACAACACCCGGGGG